GGGAACTGACATGACTTTACTGCAGACTCGATGCTTACTAGGCTTCTCTGGAGCAAGGAAACCTGTGAGATGTTTACATGGACAAGTGCTGGCTTTCACCACACATGTCTGTGAGGCGAGCATCCAGTGAACAAAAGATGAACCTGGCTGTCAGGTGACCTTTAACAGTCTTGATCCCATAGAATCTCAGCATGCTTAGGTATGATTTACATTCTTCTTCATACTCCATCATTCATGCCAAAAAGGCTGCCTCGGTGCAGGATATTTTCTAGGTGTTTGTGGGAGAGCCATAAGAAGAGTAACCTGACAGGGGCACCTGGGTGGCTCAGTCAGTTAAGCGTCTGACGTCGGCTCAGTTCATGATCTCACAGTTCATGAATTCGAACCCCGTGTCGGGGCTTTGTGCTGACAGCTAGGAGCCTGGAGCCTGCTTCAGATTCTGTCTCCCTCTCTTTCTGCCCCTCCCCCAATCGCACTCTGTCTCTCTCTGTCTCAAAAATAAATACACATTAAAAAAAATAAAAAGAAATAAAAAGAAGGGTAACTTGACAAATATGGACAGCAGGGAAGGTGTTCTATAGATCATGGGACTAGCACTTTTGCCATTAAGTCAAAATGTAGCAGCTGGGTAGCTCTGTGGTTCTGCCAACCCAGCCTTCTGAACCAGATAAATTCTGCTTTTAAGTTCCTTATCAAGTTGGCAGTGCTCCTTGTGTCTGTTGCCTGGACACTTAGTGAGGCAGTGAGACGACACAGCAAATGGAGACACGGCTCAGGCCCAGGAGGCCCAACAGTTTGGCAGAGCAGAAACCTGCCTCCCAGCCAGGAGTTGTGATGATGCTCTACGACATCATTTCCATTAGCATGTACATCCCTTGGGCGCATCTCCCTCATTGTTTCCTGGACAGAGCAGCTGACTAGGCTGTGTTGGTACAGTTTCTATCAGTGCTGAGAAGAGTTTGATTTAAGATTCTTCAGATGGGGCGCCTGGGTGGCTTGGTGGATTAAGTATTCCAACTCTTGATTGCGACTCAGGTCATGATCTCATGGTTTGTGAGTTCAAGCCCTGCATCAGGCTCTCTGCTGCTTGGAGCCTGCTTTGGGTCCTCTATGCCCCCCTCTGTCTGCCCCTCCTCCATTCTTTCTCTTTCTCTCTCAAATAAATAAACATTTAAAATAATAAGATTCTTCTCAGAAACTCTTTGTTTTCTCCTTGCTGTCTCATCCAGCCTTCCAGAATCCCACAGTTGACCTGAATCCAAGAAAAAAGTTCTGATGATGTGATAAGGGGAGCCACTTACGTTACTTATAACGATAAAGAATCTTAGAAGCTCCTCACCTTCCTCCGTCTGCCTTATTTCTCTGACTCCTCTTGAGACTTTTCTTTTGGTTTCATTTCCGATTTATGATCATTCAGAAGAGGAAAGAATTAAAGTAACACCTATATAGGGCATGATGCAGAATATTAGTCATTATGCCTCCAGGCATTCTTTCTGAAGATAAACCTACACGAGAGGCTTTATTCCAATTTACAAAGAGGAAACTGAGGCTCAGAGTATTGATGTAACCTGCCTGAGAGCACATAGCTAACAGGTGGTGGAACTACAATTTAAACCAGCTGTTGCCTTGACTAAAAACATATTCCTTTTTTACCTTATCACTCTGCTTCAATGAGAAAATAAGCAAAAATAAAACCAAACCAAGAAAGTCTCAACGAGTATTGATAAGGGTGTGCAGCAACTGGAACTTTCATACTCTGCTGGTGGGAGTGTAAATTGGTGCAGCCATTTAAAAAAGATACTGACAGTGGCTACTACAGCAGAACATAAGTATATTCTATGACCCAAAAATAGACTCCCAGGAATATTCCCAACAGAAATGTGTGTGTGTGTGTGTGTAAACCACAAGACAAGTACATAATGCTCATAACAGCATTATCAAAATAGTTAAAAACTAGAAACAACCAAATGTTTATCAACAGTAGAAGAGATAAATAAAATGTGATTTAAAAAAAATTTTTTTAATGTTTATTTATTTTTGAGAGACAGAGTGTGAGTGGGGGAGGGGCAGAGAGAGAAGGAGACACAGTATCCAAAGCAGGCTCCAGGCTCTGAGCTGTCAGCACAGAGCCCGATACGGAGTTCAAAACTACAAACCATGAGGTCATGACCTGAGACAAAACGTGACACTTAACCAGCTAAGCCACCAAGGCACCCCAAAATGTGATTTAAAAAAATTTTTTTAATGTTTATTTTTGAGGGGGGGAGGGGCAAAGAGAGACAGACACAGAATCTGAAGTAGGTTCCAGGCTCTGAGCTGTCATCACAGAGCCTGACGTGGGGCTCAAACTCACGAACTGTGAGATCATGACCTGAGCCAAAGTCAGACGCTTAACTGACTGAGCCACCCCGCTGCCCCTAATTTTTTAAATGTTTATTTATTTTAGAGAGAGAGAGAGGCAGAGAGAGAGGGAGACAGTGGATCCCAAGCAGGCTCTGCACTGACAGAGCCTTTGTAGGGCTCGAACCCACAAACCGTGAGATCATGACCTGAACCAGAGTGGGATGTTTAACTGACTGAGCCACCCAGTTGCCCCCAATATTTTTATACAGTGGAATTCTCTACAGCAGTGGAGAAGAAGAACCTACCACTATATCTAACGACATGGATGACACCCAGACATAATGTATGAAAGGGTACATATTGTGTGATTCCATGTATTTAAAGTTCAAAAACAGATAAAACAAATCTCTGGATTAGAAGTCAGTTACCTTCGGGAGGTGTGAATGATAGAGGTGGGGACACAGGAAAGACTTCTGGAATGCTAGTCATGTTCTATATCATGATCTGAAAGGTGACTACTCAGGTACGAATTGTGTTCTCTTTGTAAACATTCTTTGAGTTGTACCCTTAAGGTTTGCACACTTTACTACATGTGTATGATATAAAAGTGCTTATCCCCCAGAAATTCTCTCAATAGCCAAATGGTGATGATAATGGAAGCTGCTAGTTATCAGATATCTGCTAAGCCTTGCTTTCCTTGTCTACAAGATGTGGAGAATATGAGAATATGCCTCATTGCCTTCTTGTGAGAAGTGAGACAAGTGATGTCAGACAATTGGTAGAGTGACTTTAATAAATATCAATGATGGGAGCATCTGGCTAGCTCAGTCAGTAGAGCATGCAACTCTTGATTTCGGGGTTGTAAGTTCGAGCCCAATATTGGGTATGAAGATTACTTAAAAATATAATCTTTTTAAAAAATAAAAACAAATAAATATCAATGAATGTGAATTATATTCCCACTACTATTCAGGTGGTTCCTGTACATCATGTCACCACCTTGCAAGGCAGGTGTTCCCATTTTCAAATGAGGAAAACTAGGGGTGCCTGGGTGGCTCAGTCACTTGGGCGTCTGACTTCAGCTCAGGTCATGATCTCACGGTTTGTGGGTTTGAGCCCCGCATCGGATTCTGTGTCTCCTTCTCTCTCTGCCCCTCCCCCACTTGTGCTCTGTCTCTGTCTCTCAAAAATAAATAAATGTAAAAAAAAATTTTTTTTAATTAAAACAAAAACAACAACAACAACAAAAACAAATGAGGAAAACTAAGGCTCCTAGAATTGAAGTCCCTTACTCAAAGTCACACAGCTAGTGAAAGGCAGAGCATGATTCCATTTCCAAAGAATTGATCAATTTCGGAGGCAATGGAAGTCCTATCATGAAGGACTAGTAAGGGATGGTGATAGGATAGAATGGAAAAGGGGAATTGCTGGGCTGCATTCGGGGCCAGGAAAACTGTAGGCCCAGGCTCTGCCCCAGTTTGCGATGACACAGTTCACTGGATGTCTCTGGAATTAATCTCAAACATGAGAGTTTTGAACTAGATTTTACTGGATTTTATTTCCTTAAGTGACTTCTGGCTCTGCAGTTTTATGATTCTCTATGTTTGTCATGCCTTATAGGGCCTCTTTACAACCAGGCTCCATGAGCTTAAATTCATTTTTCCCGTAGAACTTTATTCCTGCTTCATCTTCTCAGTACTTTTCCTCAATCACATCCTATAAAGCAGGGCTAATTGTTCCCCTACTACATGCCCATTGTCCTACTGTGAGCCATTTGCCGGTCTGTGTCCTCCATAGACTGTAATCTCCTTGAGGCTAGAGACTAAGATTTATTTGTCTTTTTTCCCATACATGCTGCCTGGAACAGTTCACACATTTGTGGAAATTTTTGTTTAATTAAGTATTTAAATCCACAGAAAGTCCTTTTTGAATAAAGTGTGAGAGGATAGCCTCAGGCTGTGCTGGACCTAAGGTGGAGACCCAGAGAGACCTTTTCCTTTATGTTCTTTATTTTATTAGAGGTCCAGGAGAAACAGTAATGGAGTGGCTAGGGAGAAGAATCATCAGATGACTTAGCTCCTTGGTGTGTGTTGATGAAATCTGAAGTTTGATCAGTGCTTAAACATCAGTGACAATCCAAACCCTTCCGATATGGAATGGCCCCCACTTAATTTAATGTCATTTTACTTTATAAGATAGTTAATAAACAGGTACTGTGTTTGGTCTTGTGAGCATAGACCTCTATATTTAGTTTTTCAGCTTTAATGGAACTATAATTTTAATCATGATTATTACTTTACATTTTAATTATAATTTGGTGTGGCTTAAGTATACATTTCTGAGAGTGATTGTGTAATGAAAACAGGAATTAGCTTTTCATTAACAAAATAATGGGAGCGTTCCCATTGCATTCTAGTCTGTGTTCAAAATCTATGGGCTGGCCTAAAAATAGCAAAGGGAGTTTAACATTTTGGTTAAAAACATGCTTCTAAATTGGATGTGTTCACAACCCAGTCTCTTTTGCTCCATCTTGCTTTATCTTGTTCCCTTTCTTTTCAAAGTACAAAATAAAATAAAATAAAATAAAATCTTGAAAGAGACTTTTGTGTCTTTGAGATTTCAGGAGGTTTATTTTTATTATTTTTATTTTTATTTAGATAATTAGCACCATGGAGCCACAGGTGTCAAATGGCCCGACATCCAATACAAGCAATGGACCCTCCAGCAACAATAGAAACTGTCCTTCTCCCATGCAGACAGGGGCAGCCACAGATGACAGCAAAACCAACCTCATAGTCAACTATTTACCCCAGAACATGACCCAGGAGGAATTCAGGAGTCTCTTTGGGAGCATTGGTGAAATAGAATCCTGCAAACTCGTGAGAGACAAAATTACAGGTATGGTCTTCTTCAATATTCTAAGCTTAGGATCAGCAGCTGTCTGTTCGGTTGAATGTGCAGACCTTAGCAGGAATGCACGCGCGCACACACACACACACGCACGGTGAATGGTTAATGCATCTGAGTGTCTGCATCGTGTATCCTGCCTTCAGGGATGGCGTGGGAACACAGTCGTAAGCTCCTGCAAGTGTGTACACTACATAAAACCATTCTGCAGATTGGTAGGACTTGGAAGCAGATGAGATTTTGGAGCTTCCTCAAGCTTTACTTTCTGTGAAATAACCCTTTGGTTTGATCCCCTTTTATTCTCAATCAGCCACCCTTTCCCTTTGTTCCATAGTTCTCAGTTCTGCCCTCCACCCTCCCTGTACTCCATGCTAGTTTTTATCTATTCCTTTCCTCTCAAGCATTTGGCTTGTGTGTGTCCAGTGTCTGAGACAGTTTTAATGGGGCGGGGGAGCCATTGTGGATGGAGATCACAACTGCCCATTGTCTCTGGGAGAAATAGGCTGTAAGGATAGCAGATTATTCTGGAATAAAACTACTCTGCAGTAGGAGGGAGAAGCTTAATGAAGATCTGTATTTGAGGTATTTTGTTTGTTTTGTTTTGTTTTGAGGATACTCTTTGAGAAGTCGGAGACTTTTTACTTAATAGTAACACAATACCCTTACAATTTCAATACTTGAACATTTTAGCTTCCGATGTTTTTCTAATCAACAGCCATTTGCTGAAGACCTAATGTTTGCCAGACACTGATACTGTAATTCTTTGGAGTGAAGTGTCCCTGTAATCTTTTTGGAAGTGAGAATATTTTCTTAGAAATCTACTGGCTACGTCATGACAGAGTGCAGCTGCTCATCTTTGATGCTCCATTCCTAAAATCATTCCGCCCACCTGAGCATTTGTCATTTTTGAGTGTTGACTTTTGTTTCCTTTTCTCTGGACAGTTTAATTGACAAGCAACTGGCCTATTAAGAAAAAGGAAAGTCTGTCATTAAAATAGGAAGATACATCATCTTGGTTTTAAGTCTGAGAATCCAGTGTATACGTGTGCACATAGCTGTATTTGTTCTCCAATTCTTCTAATTCACTTGTAAATTTGTCTCCTATATAAATTAAGTACCTTGCAAGATCATAAAACTAAAATAACTGTTGAAAATAAAAGTCACATAACCCTCCAAAATTAATTTCCTCATCTATAAAATTGGAAAATAATATTTATCTCAAAGGGCTTATTTTGAGAATTAAGTGAGAGACTGGATAGTGTAACGCCTATTGCATAGTGGTCTCTTAGTAAATGGGAGATGTTGTTATTACAGAGGCATGTAGTATGTTACAAGGAAAGTGGCTGAACAGAGAAATTTTATCAAGGTCTCCAAATAGGACCGGAGCTTTGATGATCTTATCTGAGAACACCGTATCATCCATCCTTTAACAGAATTGCCTGTCCTCTCAGACAGCCAATGTTTAGATTCCTGAATAATCTTTATATAATAGGATGATAATTCACACAAAATTAAAACCAGTTAAGCATATGATTCTTCCTCCCACTCCTGTATAGAAAATGTATTTTTGGTGTAGCCTTACCTTCTAAATAGGGACTCTGCCAGCTATATTAGTGAATATTATTAATCACCTTTTCAAAAGATTTCCCTTAGAACTGTAGTGAGATTTTTTAAAAGTACTGATTCATGGTGTTGTTCCTTGTTTTCTAAAGACACATGTTTAAACAAGCAGATTCCTTTACTGAAAGAATGCTAATTTGGTAGTTCACCGAGTAGATTTGAATAGGAGTGACAGCTTCGAAGACAGCCTTTAATTTGGTATACAAAACCAAAATTGTCAACTTTGGTTTGTTTAGCACCCTCTCCAGCACAAGCAGAGACAGTAGCATCTGAGCTTAAAGAAGAAGCTTATGGGTTGAAAGCAGAAATATAATTCAGGCATAAATTTATAATTATGCACTTTTTAAATTTCAGGCAAAAAAAAATTTTTTTTATTTGCAGGGAACTTCTGGGAATGAGGCAAGGAAATATATAAGAGAACAGAGATATTTGCCCTCATTTGGTAGCAGTGTTTAATAAAAGTAGAACTTGTGGTTGTAAAGAGTGCTTATTAAATTCTTCATTTACACTACCTAATTAATTCTAGCATTTTAAATTAACAGTGAAACTGGTCCCTGCTGTACCATTCCATAGATGCAGCATATTTCCTCCATCCACCAGTTGTTCAGGTTTAATTGACTATGCTAAAAGTCAGAGAAGGAGGGAGAGAGGGCTGTGGGGAGTTGGGGAAGGAGTGAGAATCGCTCTAATGGAAGACCCTCTGAGGCCTACATTTGGTGGGAGGTGATAACACAGGCTGGGAGAGGCGAGGTGGAACATCAGGCAAGTTGAAAGGCTGCTGCCGGTGGTTCAGAAGTCAGGGTAAATGACATCATAAGTATTTTTGTTGCCCTGATTTTTAACATCCCAGTCCCCCCTTTTCCTCCAACACCTCCTACAGATCTCAATACATCTCGATCCTGTGAAGTTTACAAGGAGTTTAAATATCTAGTGGGAGGATTGGGGGGTGGGAAGTGGCGAAGAGATAAGAATTCAAGATTAAGATTTTCCAGCCCAAACCACTCCCTAAGCGAATGGATTCCCTTAGAAGGTTCCAGCTTATCAAATTAAGAGAAAGAGAGGGGCGCCTGGGTGGCTCAGTCGGTTAAGCGGCCGACTTCGGCTCAGGTCATGATCTCACAGTCTGTGAGTTCGAGCCCCGTGTTGGGCTCTGTGCTGACAGCTCGGAGCCTGGAGCCTGTTTCGGATTCTGTGTCTCGCTCTCTCTGACCCTCCCCTGTTCATGCTCTGTCTCTCCCTGTCTCAAAAATAAATAAAACGTTAAAAAAATTAAAAAAAAAAAAAAAAAAAGAGAAAGAGAGACACTCAGAGGAAGAGAAAGAGAGTGAGACTTGTTGTTGAAAGCATTGTAGGTAGGCTGGGTTGGCTCCTGACAGTGGGTTGTGAATGAATTCTCCATTTGAAAACACATAGAGGAAATTTGGGCATGGGCTTAAGTGTTTGGTACTGAGGACATAATTGCTATCATTTATCAGATAGTTTATGCTAGGCACTTGCTAAGCACTAGACATACCTTATTTGATTTAACCCTGAGAATAACATCCATTTTCTTAGATGAGGACACTGAAACCTTGTGAGGTCAAGTAATTTCCCCCTGCAAAACAATTATCGCCAGGTGGTGGAGCTGGGGTTCACCCCCAGATTCCAAAAGCATGATTTTATGGGGAAGTATGTGCAGGATGCCCCTGCCTGTGTTAAGTGAAGATCCCCGCCTAACCCTGGCCCCATAACCCAATGAAACATTTTGATCTTCTGAGCAGTAGTTGCTGGCCACCCTCTGGAGATTCTACCTAATGCACCATGGCTTTAAACTAGACTCCTGTGTATAACAGGAGGCAAAGATAACAATATTTATCATCCTCTGGGGATACAACTCAGCCTTCAGAGTAGAACCAAATTTACTGAAAGTGCCAGGTTTAAGATTCTGTTATAGTGCTTTTGGACATCTCTGTTACTTATCTTCTCAGTGATATTAGATTTTCTTTTTCCAATTTTAAAAGGACACTTATCAGGATAATCTAGGTACCAGAGAGAGAAAACATGTCTCCCAACTTGCTTTTGTGTGCAGCCGTGGACACGTGATGGCACAGGAAGCCATGTTCTTCATTTTTCTCTTTCATCCATCTGCAGACTCTGCTGCTGGAGAGAAAGGGACATGGTGTGTGGCCCACGAGCTTTTGTGCAACCTCGAAACTCAGGCAAAAAAACATCAAACTCCTGGTAGAAATTATATTATTCCCATGAACTGCAAAGAATTGAATTAGTTTCTCATTTTTAATTTTGTTGCCCTTTTGTTTTTTCAAGCTTTGAGACTGCATTAGAGATGCTCAGTATTTTAGGGGAGGAAACATGGCTTAGGCAGGATGCAGTTAGATGGCTCAGGGTATGTCTTAAAGCCAGCAGAACTGGGATGCTAAATTACATTTTAATAGTTGTCTACCTCGTTATCACTGCTCTCCAAAAGGAAGACAGAAAGGAGAAAAAAAGTAACAAAGAAAAATCCCCAGAAATGAATCCATGTAAAACAAACAGTTTTGATCTACTTGTCTAGCTCGTGTGATTTTTTGCATTCTAGCGATCAAAAAGAATTTTTACTTGATATTACTCTTCATGTGCCCATACAGTGTAGTTTGTTTTTTTGTTTTTTTTAAATCCCAGTTCAGGCAGGTAAGAGCTCTGAAGGGAGGGTTTTGAGGACGGAGTGGTCCAAACTGAACATTATCTGTTATAAAGCTGAATATATAGAGTGTCCAGGGCATGGAACAGACTGTAAGGACTATAGATGGTTGAGAAAGGGTGAGGTTTTTGTTAGCTGGAGCTGCTGGGAGAGGTTTGAAAGATGAGGTTAGGATTTAGGTAGAGGGAAGAAAAGCAAAGGTATAGAGCTAAAATTCCAGTCTAAGAACAAAAGCCTTTTTTGTTCCTTTGTGTTTTGGACACAGGAAGTAGAGCTAGAGTATGCCTCTTAGGACACAGTAGTCTATTATGAAGCAGCATCACCAGATAAAGTTAAGCATACCAAAAAACGAAGCTGGTTAGAGTTGCACCCTGACAAAGACAGCATTTCCTAAACCTCACCTCTAGCCCATTTTTTTTTCATTTTTTTCTTTATAACACTTGGCTTTGGCTTAATTAATGTTATTCAATGAAAAAGGCAGAACAAGGCAAAAAAGACCCTTCACTGCTGTGGACATCAGGATGAATGCTTTGCCACCACCTTTGTATCTGGAATCACATCTCCAGTTAAAGGAACCAACTCAGTTTTGATTTCATGCCACTGGGTAACTTCTATTCTTTCTCAGATTTGTGAAAATGCTATTAATCCTGTGTGTCCCTCTCAGTAGGTGACATGTGGGTACAGCAGCGGGGGT